GGACCTTCGGTATTCGGCCTCCGGCGCTGGCGAAGAGAATGGGTCGAACTGTTCAGGTCTGCGGCCACGGATCGTCGCGCGTGGAGAAGCACCATACGGGATGTAATTGAGGCCGGCTAGATCAGTCCTGATCGCAGCCGTAACATGTACAAGTACAAGTCAAGCGGTTGAAGTCATGTTGGTTTAGAGGTGTGAATGCTTGGGGGCTATGATGACATGATTGGCCCGAGTTAGGTTGCCCAGAAGACGAATACAAAGTGTGTGAGCAGGACAATCCAAGCCTAGGACGTGCATTCATAGTGCAGATAAGTTGTCCTGTTTAATGGCGGCGCTCGACACTGTTTAGAAAATATGCCGTTGAGGGCATTGTGGCGGTTCCGAAGGTGTCCAGTAAGCCCCACGCACCTTATTACGGTGCGTTGCTATTGCTTTTTTTAAAATAAATTACCTCTCACTGTGTCGCTGGCCTTCAAAAAGCCTAACCGCCTGTCTCCCAAGCCAACTTATATTACCATCGATACGGCGCTGTTACCCACGTGGAGGGGTCGAAGAGGAGACCAACTCAAGACCTGGTTCGACACAGTTCGTAAAGACATTGGAGCGATGAATGGAACTTCTCTATTAGGTCTCCACTGCTAGAGAAGAGGGTGAGTTGGGCTGTCCAGCTTGGCTGTTGCAAATCATTACGCATGGCGCAGTACAATACGTGATATCATCGAGGCCGGCAGAATCAGGAATAACAGTCATAATAAGCACCAACCAGAACGCGCAGACCAAAGCCCGCTTGTCGTAAAAAGGTACCTCAGCCTTAAACTAACGGTGTTGGTAGAGACACAGTACTATGAAGTTTCCGTACTCTGAGGTGAACGTTTCGATCTACTCCTCTTACACGCCAGTCCAAGGCTGCAAGATCACGTCGAACAATAGGGAAGCGCTAATTGTTGACGGACCACATTCGCCATACCATAATACAGCTACGGATTATGGACGTGTCGGTGTCACATCTGTGATCGACTCGTTTTCCGAAATAAGTACTATTTATTTATGTATAAGCAGGTAGGTGATCGCGGTCGAGGTGGCCTTGATTAGACCAAACCCAAATTTTAATGAAATTCCATTGTATGCAATTAATTCTACTTCTCAAATGTACGCAGAAACTCCCTGGCAAGAGGCATGAAAAGGACAGCCCGCGGGCTGAAAGTTGGCGATTTTTAAAAAAAGAAGGTAAAGGAACCCGTAAATAAACAAAAAAGACTAGATGTGTACGTACCAGGTTTGAGATCATAATGGATGACCGGTGGTTTCCGCTCATTCAAGTACTTCAGGGCGGAGATAACTTGACAGATTATGGACTTCGCTTCCCGCTCTGGGATAATTTTGTTCTGCTTCAAGAAGAAGTCCAGGTCGTTGCCCTCACAGTACTCAAGGACTGTGCAAAACCTGCGATGGGAAAAAGAAGTTTTTAACACAGAACGAAAATGAGTTTTGGAGGCGCAAGAAGCGGGAAAGCGAATACAGGCTACCAATTACAGTTACACTTTCATGGAAAGGCATCCTTTGGGAAATGGGTAAGTTTATTGAGTAAATTTTCGACACTGGATCCCCAGTTCGTCGTCTCAATTGAGACGACAAACTGGGGATCCAGTGTCAAAAATTTACTCAATAAACTTACCTATATCCCAAAGGATGCCTTTCCATGAAATTACATTTCTTGGGATGCCTGCCTTTCAGTTTATACGATACAGTTACACTAATCATCTCAGGGAAGGTGAAAAAAGAACAGACTTCAGAAGAAATGTACACGCATGGGCAATGGTCACGCAGATACAAGCAGCCCAACAAGTACAAATCACACCAAAAGAGGTGGCTGAGGTCAAGAGCATCGATAAATCCTCGTCGGAAAGCCCCCAGCTCTTTTAATACATAAACATATCGACAGCATAATTCCCGCACCTTTACGTAATAAACGCAAAGAACGTCATTTCATCTGCTTTTTTCTGCCACAGAAAAATGCTCCGAGAAGTCTAACGATGGCACCTCCTGTTGAATATCAAGATGGGCAACCATATTGATAAAACAGTTGCCTCAAAAGTGGGGTTAACAAATCTTACACTAACCGGCTCGCGGCGTAAAGTATCAACCAACAAATCGAGATAAGCTTCCTTGGCTTTTGCACGGCCGATCTTTATTGTGAGTATAAGGGTTGGTCGGCGAGAGACAGACCCATTTATGGATTAGCAGTCGCACCACATGCCTAACGGCAAGAGGTGGTCATTCCACTAAGAGTCCATCTGACACTCAACTCTGGCCTATCATTTCAGGAAACTGTGTTTAGCTTTGTGGCGGTACCCAGGTAACGGCGTTGAGTTGCTGCGAAACCAGATATGCGTAGCTGCAGCATCTCACAACCAAAGAAAAAAACAGTGCGCTAAGCCTGGTCCAGTTAGCGAGGAGGAGATAACAGTCAAGTCACAGCACGCGTAGGCCGGTCCAGGACAGGCCTGTACGGCGTTTTGTCTCATCAATAGTTCCGACCCAGTCTTGCCACTGGACAACGAAGGTAGGAAGAGGGCAAGTTTGACTAGGCGTAATCTACCCCACGCGCAAGCTATCTTTAGCACCAGCGTCTAACCACCGCAAAAACTTTCAAACTCTGTGGCAGCAGCTTATGTATCCTTTCATGGACTGCCCTGGATAATTCGATCTTTTTTGCTGAGCATGAAGGCGGAAGCAAAAAAAACAAATTTGGCGGCCGCCTGCATGTTTTAGCAATTCAGTAGCCAGAAAGAGAAAAATTAGCCTGAAAATTATCACCACACTCCCTCTGCTGAACTGACTCAGGCGGCCAGGACATAGCCTTCATATAGATTCAATAAATGCGGAAAATACCCGATGGACGACTGTTGACCAAGACCGGACAAGGTAAGATCAGTTCAACAGAGTAAAAACACGGAGTACTTTGACAGCGGGGAGCATGAAAACGTTGAGAACAACAGGAGTGCACTGCAATACTCGACCTACGTTATCTTCCCTGGAGTTCAGCAACCCTCGAACCAATGACACTAAAACTGGTTTTATGAGTATCGGGGAAGTCAGTACAGAAACTGCGTTTAACGCTGAAAAAATTTGGGGTAAAATTCGGAAATAAGTTGGCCTAAGCGAAATTAAGAACTTCGTTGGAGCCAGCAAAGTTGTCTACGGCCTAAAACCCACCCGAACTCGTCGTTACGCACCTCGAAAGAAACAAAACTGCGTCACAGGACCCGTGCTAGTAGTACGCATGTCATTTTTCGTGGGGTTACACTGGTTAACCAAAACGCATTCAGCCTCAGTAAAAACACCTACAAATGAAGGTATAAACGGAAAAGGAGCAGCAAAAGGAAACTCACGCATCATGGTCGATGTCGAATACATCAAAGACCTTCACAATG